AGGGAATCCCCAGGGGCTGTTTGACCGTCGGACAACTCCGGTGTCGATCATTTCATCTAACGCAACGTCGATGGCTTTGCGTTTAGACAGACTGACGGGGCGCGCGTTTTGCCTTCGAGGAAGCGCGTCGCCAGTGTCGATCCGGTGTTGCACTAGGTCTGTGCACCCGGGCCGATCCGTGAACATTGCTTCATAATATCGCAACAAGTTCGACAAACGGGCTTTTTCTCGCCCTGACACGCTGCATGACTCTGTCAGCAGGGGGTGCGTTACTTCCGACACTACGGCACTCGTTTGATCTGGCGTCGAGGAACGTGCCGAGGAGTTCGTACTCGCTTCTTGGGAGGCTGTTGCCTCGTCTCGGCTGCTGCTGCCTGCCCCATCTTTGGAGGCTGTTGCTTCGTCTCGGCTGCTGCTGCCTGCCCCATTAACCAGTGGTTTTTCTGGAGTTGGGGGTTCGCAGAAGGGTTTCAGAGGAGCGAAAGTGCCCTCTCGGTAGCCACCGCTACCCACGTCGATCACAATGCCTGTTTTGGCGAGAAAATCTCTGCCCACGATGATTGGAACGGAAAGATTGGGGAGATGAACAAAGCGTTGCCGTCTTACTCGGGTCTCCCATCTCGCAACCAACCGCACTGTACCGCTTGAATGGGCGGTACCGCACGCGAGTCGGAAAGCCGTGTTGCCCTCCCTCAGACGCACTGAGTTTTGCCGGAGGTGGGTCAACACTTCGTCTCCGAAAAGTGAGGCGCTGGCTCCTGTGTTCAGCAGCGCCTTGAACGTCTGGCCGACAATCGTCAGGGCTATGAATGGCGCTGGCGTGCCTGCCGGAAAGCCTATTCTATAGGCCGACGGCAAAAGAGACTCTTGCTCCGTGCCGCCGTTAGCCGCCGGGCTGGTTATCGGCGGCTTTGCTCGTTTCCCGTCTGTCGGAAACCGGGGTTCTGTCCTTCGGGGCATTGTCGAACCAGATGGTTTGCGCTGTTACAGCGAAAGCAACGCTGTTGCGTGACCCTTCTTGAGTCCTGTCTCGGATTCCGATGCGCGCCGCCCCTTTCGTCCTGGGTGTACGGACGTTTTGGCCGCGTTTCTTCCCGTGGCGTCGGTAACTCCGTGTTCCGATCTCGCCTGTTGAACTGTGGCGCAGTCTCTGCTGCCCTCCGTCCGTAGGAGTACGGGTCGAGCGCACGATCAGATATGTCGTACGAGTTCCGACCTCGCTCGTCTGCGTAGTAGGCGCCGTCGCGTCTCCTGTTTCGGGACGCCGCGTCACCGTTCCACGCGCAGCGCGGCTCGAGTGCCGCTGACGCTGGCGGCGGGGGCCGATACGCTCGTGCGGCCAGAATGTCTCCCTGGATCCGCCGAGCCTCCGAGGCCAGTTCGCTCAAGTCGCGAAAACGACTGCCTCGGAGATACGCTGCAAAAGTCGGGTGCGATTGTCGAATGACTCGCTCCACCCGCTCTGCATTGGGCGCTGATGGTTCCGCCAGCTCAAAGAGCTCCTGCATCGCCCTCACAAACTCCAAAAGTGACTCGTCTGGGTGTTGGGTCCGTTGTTCGAGTTCTCGCCTCATCCTGCGTTCGTAGTCTGCAGGGAGGAATTCCTGGCGAAATGCCTTGCGGAACTGCTCGATCGACGACAGCTGGCTTCCGGTTAGACGGAGCCACCGCGCCGCTTGGTCCACCAACGAGATTGGCAAGATGCGTTCCAGTATCTCGTTGTCTGACATTCCCATGGCCTGTTGGTAGTTTTTCAGGTCCTCGAGGAAGTCTGTCGCGCTCAATCGGTCTCCGTACCCTCGGTATGTCGGGACAGGGATTCTGACCGGTGGCCGTGTAGGCGGTGGGAGTGGCCTAACTGCTGTTTGCAGTGCGCCCGTCAAGCTCTCGATCACCCGAGTTGCGTTTTCTAGCAGGGGGTGATATGCGCCGAGCGTGTTTTCTCTGTGGTGAGAATCGCTCCCCGCTTGTGAGGGTGGCGGGCTGTTCCCTCTGTGTGGGCCCGCCGAGTGGTGCGCTGCGCCTGGAGCAACATTGCTGTGCTGCAGCGTGTGGCCGGCGTCAGTGTTATCTCCGTGTGGAGAAGCTGACGGCCAGTCCGGGGTGAAGAGATCGACATAAGAGGCTGCACTTGCCTGCTGTTGCGTCATCGCTTCTTGTTCGACCACATCCGTGTTTACTCCGCGAGTCACGGGTGGGCTTGGCTCAGCGATGAAAGCTGGCGCGCTCCGCGAAGGGGTGCCCTGGTTGCATGCGGGGCAGTGCGGGTCAACCCCGTTTGCGAAGCTCGGCTGGAAAGACACCTGCTCGTGGTGTCCGCGCGTGGCTGAAGTTGCCCCAAAGCCGATAAGCGGCGTCAGGTTTTGGGCGTTCGCCTCTCCCTCGGCCCCCAAAATCCATGGCCGGAAATTGGCCTGGTTCTCTGACATGCAAATAGTTGCTGCAAACTATATATATTTTTTTTTTTTTTCGGCAGTTAACGGAGAGCCGCACGTTAGGGCGCCAAATGTGGGATTCGACTTACCTCACTGCACCGCGAGGTCGATCCCACTCCGTAGCACGATGTTGAGGATTGCTACGGCCGGGTCCGTCCGGAGGCTGCCGTAGACTCCGAGGAGAGGAATCACTCCGAAAACGCAAAGGTACTGAAGAAGCGGGTTTATTAGGCTCCTGTGCCACCACGCTGTGCCCGTCGGCAAAACTAATAAATAAAAGGAACGGTAAAGTGTCGGCGCTGTCGTATTAGACAGATTCACCTGGAGGGGACCCCCGCTGCCGTATTAGGCAGATTCGTGGGACAAAGGGGAAGCACAAAAAAGAAAGAAGCTCACGACGAGAGCTTCCCCCAAAAACGAGAGTCAGGGCCGCCGTTCGCGGGCCGCTTATCTAGCCAGCGGAAAGTGGACGCGCCCGGGGTAGGTAGTGTGGCTTATCCCGCAGATGGGCCGCGTCCACAATCATTTCCGAAGGGTGCGCCGGAGGCACTTTCCCCCAAAAGGGCGAGGGAAGACACGCCCTCTTCGAGGAATGCGGCCTTACCCCCGTATCCGGGATGACGTCGCCATAACGCTCCCACGGCCTGCTTGTGCTAGGCCTAGATAGGGAGACGGGGAACACGTGGCTCCCACAAGATATATTGCGTAGAGCTTTACTCTAACGAAAAAAATTGCCAATGTGCCGGCGACCTGGTGTATGCTGATCATGATGTTAAAATAATGAGACTGTGAAGGAAATTTGAAAGAAAAAGTGCAAGACAAATCAGAAAAAAAGGGAACAGGACAAACGTCATATCCTCGAACATGACGGCCTATATGGGAGGTTACGGTCAACGCGCTGGTATGGAAACGTTATTTAGCACTACTTCTATGTCTCAATGCGAAGACAGAGCAAAAATAAGAAACATATCAAGGTAAATATATAAATTGTGGTGTTTTTTTCTACTTTTTAATCTGAAGTGTTTACATCGAAGCTAGAATAATCGTAGCGTTTCACCGGGGCTATCATAGTGGCGAAATAGAAAAGCCCGCACCGCCTGCTTCTATCGGAGGTTTTGTCAAATCATCTTCATTAGTTTAATATTAACTGGTAAAGGCTACATAATGTATTTGCATCGCTTAAGTCCACAGGAACAAAAACCACCGCAAAGCTAAAAACAGCGGGACATCTGCGGCTCATGATTTTTTCGCAAGTCTACGTGTTGGAATTGTAATTTGTGCGGCAGCATTTCCGGTGACTGTATTGTGTGGGTCGTTTCTGTTATTTTGAACGCAAGCAACGCAACTGTCTGAACCCGGATTGTTCACATAATGCATCATGAAATACGCAGATAGCGCCGCGGCCACATCCGAAAAGAACAATACGATAAGAACTAGTGCGGAGAGCGTTATGTAGACAGAGCGGGTACGGTGGGGAAGCGTTGAACATGGTGCAGAGGCTCGATAGTTTGTGCTGTCGCCAAGAGATGACGCTAATAATGAAGCCCCCAAAGCCCCCTAAATCAACGAATCATGTCGTCGGGCTAGTTGGTGGTTCATAATGTTTGGTGGGAACAGTGCAAAAAAGACGTAGGACCAGGACAAAGGAACGCAGAGACAGGGCACCCTGTCTGTGTGTTTCTTTGTCATGGTCCTGCGTCTTTTTGGCGCTGTTCCTACCAAACCCCACAAACTAATGTATAATCAAATCTGATATTCTTGGGCAAGAGTCTCGGTTTTTTGGCCCTAAGTTGCCCAACAACTGAAAAGTTAGGCTCCACTTTTAATTTGGTTTTCACTTGGAAACAAGGGGATTAAATTGACAAACAAGTGCAAGAACTGCGCTTCACTCCTGGTTGCTCGGTTGATATGTGTCATCCTTCTCTCATGTCTGGCAAACTGGCAGTTATGTGATGAATCAGAAAGAAGCTACAGAAAAGCCAAAAAAAGTACTTTTACACTAACTAACACAGAGTAAATTTCTATCAGCACAAAGATAGGTCCCTGGGATTGCCAAACTTGGGCCAAGTTTGGCGTTTTTCGGCCTGCGACTTGGGCTATAACAAATATATATGTGTACAGTGGCATTGAAATTTAAATAATTTCTGTAGGCCATATTTGAACGCGTTTGAAATATAGGCTGTATTCACTCAATTTCTTGAAAGGTTCACTTAAAATTAAACTCCCGCATATTTCTGTATTAGCCAATCGTGTCGAATACTTTGCACAAACTGACTACTGCAATTAGAAGGTGTGCATGACGTTCCATGTACTCCCCCCTTCTTCGCCTGATCCTGAATTATAATCTGTTATAAGGAAATGTTTTGCTAAAATAATTTATTTGTTTTGTATGTTTTACGCTATTCTAAGGAAATGTTTTGCTAAAATAATTTATTTGTTTTGTATGTTTTACGCTATGTTGCCGATCATTACGAAAGTGCACAATCAGATTTTGCATTAGGTGATAATATTATTCCGCCTAAGAACCACATGTTCTAACAAGTACTTGATTTTGTAACATTTCAGAAGCAGCCTTGACTTCACGAAGGACGAGAACGTTTGGGCCGTTTTGATTGGTCTTTTCGTGCACAGTATATTTCGATCGGGACTGGATCAGGTAGTTGTCCAGAGGTACCTTGCTGCCAGAAAGCTGGGTGAAGCACAAAGGTATGAACTTTTGCGTCCGCAGATACGCGCACTTCTATGTTTAATTTTTGTCAAATACAAATTATTTTTGATTATTGTTACTTTATTCTCTATTTATACGCGGTCATGTATCAAGTTTAATATTTTTGTTTAGAATCATAAGAAAAGGATGAAATTTAATATTTTTGTTTAGAATCATAAAAAAAACAGATACACTTATGCCGATTTCAATCTTCAGAATTCGGTTTGAACCAGAAAAGTAAGTATTTTAGAGCAGTAAGGCACCTATTTTAGAGGTCTGGGAGGGGAAAAGGGCGTAATCGCTGGACTTTGTGACGCACTTCCTAATCGAGTGGTAATCTATCTTAAGGACCACCTGAATAGAGCTGGCAAGTGGGCAGTTCAATTTGTTTTCTCCTTTATAACTGGGGTGTGTGCGCAAAGTTTGCTTTCTTTCGAGGGGGTTGAAAATGTTTACATTGTGAAAAATGTTTCACGACTTCTCCATGTATCAGGGCAGCTTCAAAGGTTATAGAAGAGCCATTAGAGCATTAAAATTACAGTTTTGTGAGTGCGGTGCTACGAAAGAATTTAAAAGTTGTGCCTTGTCACTCGAATTTGACAGACTGGCTTGTAGTGTTTAGTGCAGCATTTCACGTTGGTAGCTTGCCAGGTTCGAGTATAATCGCACAGCCGCTTGGATGGTAAGGGAACACTGAATGGTCGGGATCTTTATCAAGATGACTAGAGAAATTTATAGTTTCGTGTTGTGTTAAGCGTTAAGGTAACACTGGTTTGTTCACGCCCATATCTGGCAAGTCTACACTTATGTGTGCGACCTTTCTTACTTTTTTTATTGTTGTGCTTTGTGAATATTGGGATTTTTTATTATCTTATGCTTTATCGTGTAGGTTTGAGACTCCCACACTTTGTTAGGGCAGTTGAAAACTCAAACCGCTGTGGGCTGAACATAAGTAGTCGGTAATATTCGCACAATGTTCCCAGAAAAAAAAAAAAAAAAACTAAAGACGATATAAGGATTCGGTTGAAGGGAGATACCGAACATATAAATAAAAGACACGAGTAAACTTAATTACGTCCAAATTTTCAGTGAAAATTCGGAGTCTTTTTCTATGCAAAAGATGTATGCCGAATAAAAAAAATTAAAAGCTACAAACGCCAAATCATAGTTATATAAAATAAACGTTATACGACATGTTAAAAGTAGAGACCTTTACATTTAATATTCCTAATAGTATTGTTAACATCATCAGGATTATTGCGAACTTACACGGGACGGGGTATAAACTTTGAGCAACCCAACGGCTCCGATGAGCTGCCAGAAATGTTGAACTTGAAGAAGCTAACTCCTATTGAATTGTTTTGAGATGGCTTGTTTAGCAGATACTGAGGCTATAAATACCCTCAAAAGTTGTGCGTAAAACGTCTATGCAGAAGGGACGTGACATATGCAAGGCATCGCATGTTCACGGCGACGTCTTTGACCGCTATGTTTCTGCCAGGGGACATCATACTTGAACATTGCCTAAAATTGTATTCCCTCTAGCAGTCGTCCTTGATACCGTATAGGCCTTCAGCAGGTATAATGCGCGCGAGAGAAGAATGGGAGAAGGGGCAGCAGTCCCGTGTCCGTCCTGCGTCTAATGCCTTCCAGCAATTGTACTGGCAGCTTGAAACTGTAAACAGCAGCCAGATATTTTAATGCAATGACGCAAGCGACGCTCGCATGCGTGCGTGTACTACACCCTAACTGTATAATTAACCACCATAAATCGGAAAGGTTTCAAAAGTAGACTGAGGGTCTTCCGTGACTAGATTGATTGCCTTGTTACACGAAATACTCTAGCCGGAGTTGCGTAAATGCCACCGAGGTGACGCATAGGTCACTGACAGTTTAAGAAAAGAAGGGCGTGACGACTTCCGACCATCTTATTAGCGCTCTGGAGCAAATGAGATCTCGGCACGTGCCAATAGCAACGCCGAAGAACGAATCCCGAGCAAAAAGCATGAACTTCATAATTAGTCAAAGAAGTAGAAACGCAGTGTACGATATCATGCTTGGAGCAGACCAGGTTTAATTGGAGCGGAACGCCTTGCCGGACACCAGCAAGGATTCAGCTTCGCTCGCAAACTGCACTGTATTGTATTTAGTAGCCAGCTGTTGAGCTGGCAAGGACAATCTTTCAATAGAAATACCTAACGAAAGTTAAGTACCCCATTGGAATTTTCGTCGAGACACAACTTATTAAGAAAACTTGAACCAAAGAAAAAGGCTCCGTGAGTGACCGCTAAGACGAGAACATAAATCCTCGGAGCTGGAGTTCAATGTTTATTTAAGTTTAATATTGTGTTTTATTATTTTGTTTTCTAACATATTAACAGAACTAGAGTTTCGACTCCATCTAATATTAGGATCTGTTGTTTACGAGTTTGGAGATTCGGTGCGTTGGTTTTTGTTCGCCATGGTTGCATTCAGAGAGAGACAGAGAAAATTCTAATTTATGCTTCCTTACTCACGAAGAAACCGTTTGACTACGTATAACATCACATACTCTCTCTACAAGACACTTGCATTGTTCTTAAACATCGTACATGCTCAGAAATGTCACTTCAATTAAACTAGACGTAAGTAGCAGAGATTGTGCCGAATTAATGGCAAGATAAAATGAACGGCGTCATTCCACTACGGGCTCAATTGCTAAGACAAATGTGCAAAGCATTAATAAGGTGATCACCAGTAATAAATATAACGCGTTTTTTTCTGCATTTTTCTTAAAACATATGCCGTTTGCAACAAAAAAAAAGCAGGATAGTTTCACCAGCTTCAATTGAAGACAGCTGTAAAAGCTGTGATGGCCGCTTTGTATTATCCATCAATCTTTCTTTCAGTGTTCCGTTGGCTTCCATACTTTTATCTTTTACAATTCTTCTTCGACAGGAACTGTGAATTATTTTCATGAGAGAGGAAACCTTGGGACAGGCGGTAGCCACTCCCAAAAATTTAAGAGTGACCGCTAAGACGAGAACATAAAACCTCGGAGCAGGAGTTTCTTTTTATTCCAATCACGAGCCAGTCGCCATAAAGACATCATGCAGCAGGAACAGTTAGTTTTTTTTTGTGTGTGATTTGAACGTGTCACTGCAATGGGCCTGGTAATATTAAAAAATACTCTGCACGCCAAATCCTCACATAGTATAATACCAGCAGCCAGCTCCGTTCAAAAGTATATACTGTAACAGAAGCATATAGAAAAACCTTCGCGCTCTATGTCAATCCCTGCACTTCACGAGACATTTCTAAATTACGAATGCGTTCTTTGGAAGGTCTCGATTGGTCATCTTATTGTAATAGACATTCATCAGGGTGAAGCGTTATGGAAGCTCCCCGGCCACGTGATGGCCTAAAGGGTATGGCTGATAGACGTTTCTTAGAGCCCTTAGTAAACATTTTACAGAGCTACAAGGGAAGCGGAGCAAATTTTACGAAAGTGAACTTTTGCAGAACCGCAAAAAAGCTTTCCTCAAAAACTCCTATAGTGCGATGAACTACTTGGACGCGTTCTGCTTCTCCATTCTTTTATTTGTTAACGGTACAATGCAGCAGGACGGCCCGATCAGGTATTTTTGGGTTCCACATTAGCTGAGCGGAGACGAGGGGGGACATGCCTGAACTATAAACAATAAACCATTTTGCAGAGGGCAGCTCTCAAACGTGAAGGTGAGCACGTCGGTTGAATTTACACATTACTGAAGTTTATACACAAGAATTGGCTGTTTTGCAAGTCCTTCTGTTTATACACCCATCGACGTCTTAGACAACAGGTCTGACAGGACTGATGTATGCGGATGTTATAGTTTTTTATAAAATAACGTAGAGATATAGCAGGAACCAATTGGGATATGTGGCCAGAAAGGTGAAGTTCTAAGTCTGAGTTTCAGTTGTGACAGCCATGAAATTATGATTTGTAACACAGCCAGAAAGATCCTCGGTAAATTAAAAAAAACAGTAATGCACCATAAAAAAGTAGACATTTTTGGGAGCATGACTGAATACACAAAGAAAGATGGAAAGTTTTGTTTAAAATAGATCCAGCAATAAATAAGCGAAATATGATATAATATTATACTGGATATAAAAAAGTTTCAGCATGCGTTAATGCAGTACTGTAGAAATTAAGGGGTTCAGGAGGATATTGGTAAGTATTATTTTGAGAAAAGAAAAGGAATCAGTCATTTATAAATTTGAACAAGGTTTACTGAGATGCAGGATACGGTGGGAAGGAAAAGTATACTCATCTCGATACAATAAATGTACGCTCAAAAGAGAGTAAACGACCCAGCAAACAATTTCGGTGAAGAAGCTAGTAGAAGAGGTCGCTTTTTGTTGTTTGGCGCGAGAAAAGCAGTTTTTAGAAGTAAGTTAAACCGGAAAAGTTTGAAGAAAAAAAAAACTCGCATGTCGTGTGCCAGGTGCCTAACAGAGGACGAAGCAAATAATGCACGTACTTCTAAAAGGCGTGGAGATTCGTCCTGCTCTTCTATAAGGGGCAAATATTTGTTGTTAACTCTTGAATTTCCTGATGGTTATAAAGAGATAGACGAAAAGAAGATTATAATCATAAAGTTGAGGTTTGAACATTAGAATAAGTCTGCAGAAATGCAAAACTCCACACAAAATTGAGTAGATAATTAGCTGGTTCAAAGAAACAATGTATGAAGCGAAAATAATTAAGGGCTTACCTATATAATATGCCAGGTGGCGCCAGCTACCCCCCTGTACACAGTTCATAGCCTCTGGCGTTTATCTACAAATATATTCGGAGACGGTGGCCAGAACAGAGGTAGGAAGCTTCTGGAGACGACACGGCGCCACCAGCGGTGAAGCCAGCGGAGACTTAGGGTTTGGAGGGTCTCGCCGGTATGCTAACAAAAACCGAAATACGCTATGGGACAATAAGGACAGCTGCTTTGACGCCAGAACCTGTTTTAATCATCTTGTGGGGCGTTCCCACCGACCGCAACCTCTACTTCCCACTTGGCTTGGATTTTCTTGTTTGGCTGGGTTGAGCCGGTATGTCGCCTCCTATTCTTCCCACCGCCATACAGGCAAGTGACTGCCTAGCGCAGCGTGTCGCAAATGGCGCCACCCACACAAGAAAGGATCACAGGAGAGCATAGTATAGCGGAATAATAGTACGAAATTTATGCATATCCCGGATCTTCTTTTAGTGTTAGCGATACGGGTGCTGCTTCCATATTTCTTTAGAGCAACTATTCCCCCAAGCAAAGTGCGTAAGTCATCGTTTAATCTGGGAACTTTTTGCGGTCGTTTGAATCCTTTGAAAGCCTAAGAATTAGGATTAGTAAGTGTAACCATTCATATAGAACCCTCTTGAAGAGTGAACACTTTATAAACAATAAAACTTTGTTTTATTATCTTCGTTTTTTTTTGTTTCTTTTTTACTTTTGTTTGTTTGCGTCAAATATGACTCAACATAGCACAAAACTCCCTCCAAGCTACAAACTCGGGTGCTGGGTGAGAGGACACTTTCCACGAATTTTCAAAAGTAGTCTCAACTGGCTACACTGAAGAGAATGGCGTACGCTAGCAGCAGACACAGGTTAACTCTTTGAGCGGTAGAACTTGTTCACAAGCGATTGCAAGGTGTTTGATGACGCGAAAAGGGATCTGTAGAACTGGAACTTCACTTCAGCAATCGGTCAGCAACAAAAACAAATACTCTAAATACCTTTTTTTGGATTGCCTTCACGAGCAGGCCTCTGACGTCACGATACTGGAAGTGCTAGTAATTTTAACTATCGTCGCTGCATTCATTTGCCGTTTTATCAATAGCTGTTTCGAATTTACAACTGATTTGTTTGGTTTCGAATTGAATGAACACCTACATTTTTAATACAACACGCTGCAAGAACTGCCAGAGCTTTTAACTTCCCTGTCAGAAATCCCGGCGAGATAGATTTCTGTGAATTATTTTTTTTTCTTGTTCTGTGCGTACCTGGGCACAGTCTGAACAAATGTAAACATAAGTCTCGAATTTTAAATTACTCTGTAGAGCGGTTTATCCTTAACACTTGAATATATATTTGTAGTTGAGATGAAACAGCAGGGAAACTATTTGCAATATATTAAATTATCAGAATTTCTGGTAAATTTATTTCAAGAATTCTGAAAGGCAGAGCACTATATTTTATGATACCAAATTTTTTGGCTGTCCTTACTTTTTTTCGTAATTATTCTTTTCATTACACTATTTGTTTGTCTGAATGTTTTGAATGGCTGATTCTACTTCGTTTATTTTTAGTCCGAATAAACCAAGGTGACAAAATATATAAAACATACTTTTGTATTTTTTTATGCAATAATGTATTACACATTGATACTGCGCAAAACAAAGGTTTTGTGCTGAAAGATATTCCCCATTTCCCACGATTACCAAAACATGCATGTTTATCGATTACTTCTTATAACGTATTACAAGTCCCAGAATGGACGGAGAAAAAGAAGAAGTGCACACAAATCAAAGAAGTACAGATTCTGTGAATTTATTTAAAATTTAGGTTTGTATATCGAACCAAGAGGTTCAAAATATTGTAAACTTGTAATATTTTAAAACGTGTATCTACAAAAAAAAACACAAAAAGACTATGATTTTTTGAAGGTCCTATATTGATTATTTTTCGTTAGAGATTTGTTGATTATTTTTTTATCACGCAAAGAAATTTGAGGACTTTTTAACTTTCAAATTTCCGGAGTTGAGAAGTACGATGAATTTCACCTACGTTACCCAAAATGTTTAGAAAAAAATTTTAATTACAAAAAAAAAAAAAAGAGCTGAATGGAAATATGCACTGAAACTTCACTGGGTCGGACTTACCTGGTGCCACCAACGACTCGCCTCCGGGGAGCCTGGCTCCCCGAATTCACTTCTCGTACCCGCCTTTGTGAGATGCTCTACTCTGTCTTTCGCACAAAGCCTCTCCCGTGTAAACCGTAGGTTGCACCGATGTAACCTGCAGGCTAACGAAACCCTGGTATGCAGGATTAAAATTCGGCAAAAGCGCGTCTCTGGGGCGCCATTCATAACCTTAGCTGTTTCTAAATGTAAGTTCCACGATTTCCCTTGTGTAAGCCGTTGCTCTCCTTACCGGGGCAGGCAAAGGGCGTACGCAAAGAGTAACGCCAACGGGCGACAACAAAAAAAAAAAAACAACTGTAGATCGGCACTTGCCCCCATTGCCATCAGTAGCCAGCTGTATGTTGCTGAAAACCTCATCTCCCTTTATTGTATAATTCAACGAAGATGACGAAGTGTAAGAAACGGGCGATGTGGTGAGCCTGAGGCACGACCCTTCGTAACCTCATGAGCTGTACCGGTGACCTGGATTTATTCTGGTTGCGTCAATCGTTCCTTTCGGGCTCCCTGCCCTGCAGCTACGCCTCGGGACTGTGTGACGTCATCAAAGCCCTATACATCCGTGCGTACATTTAAGCGACGCATGTTCTTTCCGTCACTCACCCGTGAACAAGGGACCGAACTGGTCTCGAAACGTCGGGGAAATGTTCATTAAAGTTTTGGTTACAGTCCCAATTTTTCTCTTAATGTGTGTTCCTAACCAGGTAGAGGGCTGCCGGACGATTACCTTCAAATGCCTGTGTTCATCGTGTCCAGAGTAAACCGCGGGTCACTCCACTGGAAATAAACGCCAGAGAGCTTATGAACTTTCTGCAAGCAAAGCGCCTTGTCTGGAGCCCTTTATGTGCACACGTTACCTTGTACATTTTGCTGTTTTATGCAAGCATCGCATTTAGGTGGTGTTCTTTTCGATTTCTGCCAGCTTGTAAAGAGATATACGAAGGACGCTCACCCAAACTGAAGAACCAATATATTTTTCTGAACTGCTAAATCAGTTCAACGCTTGTTTCGTGAGTTCCAATAAATAATGAAGCGTACTGGCAGTACCGTAAGCACCGCGGTACTGAGAAGGATGCAGTCTTCACGGCATAAAAGAAATCTGCAATCATTTTAGTGTAGCTTGTCACAATTTTCGCCAGAGGTGTCAGAGCTACGGTGCAAGAAGGTTGTATTGGAACAAGGCCAAAGAGGGGGTCTAAATACCACTTGGGCTCCGCGCAGATAACGGCGAGGGCACTGCCGGGTCGGCGTTCCACGCGCTGGCGCATTCGATCGTCGTACAACATTCTAAATGTTGCTCGAATGAGGGCAGGTCCTCGAGCTGCTGTCATGCTGCGCCGTGTCACGGGGTTCGCCAGCGCTGAGAGCGAACCTTCGACACACTTGCTCCGTGGCGAGGCGCCGACGTACTTCTATCTTCTTCCTCACTGGTCGGAACTATTTGGGAAGGGAGGGGGGGGGGGGCAGATTTTTTGCTACAATAGAGTTTACTTGAATTTTTTTATAGAAGGGGGGGGGGGGGGAATTCGTGCCAACTGTCTTCGAAGCTGTGAATTTCAATATATCTCCGTGGGATTCAAAATTTCTAACTTAAATTAAGAATCTTAAATTTTTTCGTTATGAACTTTAAGAAATTAGAAGCGTTAAAATTTTGAGAATTTGAATCTCAAAGTAATTCAAACTCTACAAATATTTAACTTAGTTTGTAAATATAATCGCAATATTCGAACCCTAAATTGCAGAAACGTTGGCATACTCGAACATTTCGGCTTTAAACCACTGCGGGGGATTCGAAAGTGACGAAATGTTTTTACTTTAAACCTTCGCAAGGTTCGAAATATTTGAAACCTTTCAAGCTCAAACCTCTTCAGGTTCACAGTATTTCTAGTAAGGAGGTAGTCTTAAAACCCATGAATGGAAATTGCACACGTATATTCTTCTACCATCATATTTCTCCTGTTCTTGTGAAACTGGCAATACATTGCAATTCGTTGTAAATATAAATGTAGGTCAAGAATTTCGATCATAAAATGGTGTCTGTAGTTTCTCGGCATTCATTATTTTTGACGTGTTTCTACAGAACGGTCTACATCGGAGTAGCATTGAACGCTGCTTACAGCGTCATCATGGGAAGCATGGCTCTCGCTCTGGTGTATTGGTTTCGAGACTGTGATCCCATGCTTTCGCGTGCCATCTCTAAGCTAGATCAGGTGAGTGAATATTCGTTCATCCTCGTGCGTAAATCACCGGGAACATCGTTTTTTTCATAATGAACAAGGGCTGCATCACACACATTTTAGTTTAGTTAGTCTCCGCGAGTGCACTTTGATGGCTAACGCAAACATATTAAGGGAACACGGAGCATGCAGTCACTCACAGCTTAAGAAACCTAAGGAGTGACGTGTCAGGTGCACTTTATCATTTCTCAGCAGCCAATAAGTCTGCGTCATTGACCGAAAAGAACACCGAAGTACGTCGTGTCCCCCCCCCCCCCCCCCCCCCAAAAAAAAAAATGTTCACACCAAAATAGCACGTAAAATTATTTAATTGTTGTATCAAGCTGTAACGTTCCTCAAATATGTATTTTCCTGGCCGAATTAACATATTAAAATGTATATTATCTACTCCCAATAGAACTAATATCAGAATGAAAAAATAACTGAAGAAATCACTATCGCTGGTTGTCAATGAATCGCAATAGCATTCGTTATGAGACTCACGACTCAGCTCACCGTGAATACGACTTAGGAATGGATTACGACGCAATCACTGACGTCAGCGCGACTACAGCGCGCCACTTTGTTGTTGAGTGGTTGCCTCGTCTCTGTGTAATCGTTTAATGTTCAAGGTGTTTCCCCACCATCATTGCAGCTTCATGTGTGTCTTGCCCTGTCTCTGTGTTACTGATCAAGCGTTTTGACCACTATCATTGACCTTATAACCACTAGCTCAGCTCAAACCGATAATTGCTTCGTAGCTTTAGCGCAAATGTGAATGTGCGCGTACTGCTGCTCTGTGTATGCGTGGCGCAGGTTTATTTGCTTTCTAGGACGACGTCGAGGACGGCGTTTTAGAAGGCAACGTCAGAAACAACGTCTAGTACAAACTCGAGCGCGACCTCGGGGACGATCTCTGAACGATCTCAAGGGGGTTCTCTAGGACGACCTCTGCAACGACATCTAAAGGCTCCAAGAACGATGTTTAGGACGGCGTTAAAGATGACTTCTAGAAAAACCTCTAGGGCGATCTCAAGGACGACCTCTAGGACGTCCTCAAGAAACGTCTAGGACGACCTCCTAGGGGACCACGTTCAAGACGACGTCTACAATGACCTCTAGGGCGACTTCAAGGACGACTTCCAGGGCGACTTCCAGGACGACGTCAAGTACGTCAGGTCCTTCGAAGGGGGTGCGCGCGGCGCCTGCATATGCGCTGCGTGTACAAGCGCGGCGCAAAACGCACGGGGCGTTCCAGGCCTGATGCAATATCGCGAAAAACGAGTGAAGAAGCTAAGGAATGCCATCGCGCTCAAAACTGATATTTCCGATGTCAGAGTGCCAGAGGCAGCTATCGGGAAGAGATCCAACGACGATCATGTTTGCCCAGCTTATTCAGAGATGGCGCCGCCAACGCCGGCAAGCCGCGCAGAGGGTTTAGGGTGCGGACTTCGCGCAAAACATTAATTGTCTCTTTCCAACACTAGATTCGGCACTTGTATTTGATATCCGCGAAAACGCAAGGTGACAATTAAACGCTCAACCCGCGCTTTCAACACGCAGACTGTGGCGCGAGAGATAATGATAAATAAAAATGCTAAATACTGCTTTGAAACACATTACTTACCCTGAACTTGTACATGTATCCTGCATCCGATTTAGCAGTTTGGTCTGTCTCAAGAGATACGGAAGGCGCATTTCCGCCGGCATGGGTGGCACCAAGTTTGCACCGTGCCCAATGTTACAACATGCCCAACGTTACATTTGACCCGACGTTACAGTTGACAAGATTACTAGAACGCCTGGCGCCTTTCCGTAGAGCTCGCGCGCTCGGTTCCGCTCGCTACACAATCAGAGTGCCTCGTGTACAGAAGCTGCGGAATCGGTGGAACGTTGGAGACAGTTTATTTGCGGTGAAAAGAAACATCATCGGAAATTTTGTGGTAAACATCAAGTTTGCGAAATAGTCGGCGTAAAATATTAAGCAATCCTTTGTTAAATCACAGTACACCCTCAGGTAGAGCTGCGACACGTCGCGGCGATCTCTTTGGACATCGGCGTCGTGTTCACGCCACTGGTGTCCACTGAGGTAGGCAGGATCGCGGATAGAACCTTGTTTTGCTGAAGTCGAGCGGCACTACCAGCAACCATATCATATGCTAATGCTTGCGAGTCTTTAAACGAAATGGGAAAACTGCTATGTCATACCTTAGTTCCTTGTTCTCGACGATGAACCTTTTATCGTGTTTTCCGGGAATGGCAGTTAATATTCGGTGAGCAAGCATCAAAAGCGTTGGAATACCCGTCTTTTTTAGATAAATGTTTTGTGGTTGGGGGTCGACGGCTGCGACGGCTGCGACTTTGGTGGGCGTAAACTGTGATGCCATTCAATGCAACAAGGGTGGCCGTAAGTCCATGTGGAGTTGATCATGAACTCAAAGTCAACAGAGGTTAGCAAATGATAACTTAGAAAATCTTTATTGGGGATTATTGCATCGCTTCAAGCGCCTGTACAAAATACTTCTGGATCAAGCATTTTCTTTGAACTGCAAAGAGGACTTCCTTGGCGAACTAAAAATCAAAGCGTGTCGTTCATTTGTTGAAGTGTCATTTATTTAGCAACTGAAGCAAGCGACGCGGCGCCTTCGGTGATGCTCCGGCATATTTTTTTTTTATTTAATCGGCGTGTGAACGCTTTACAAATAACGATTCGATCTCCAAACACCGGATATAGTGATCGCGCCACATCATAAAATACTCGCATTCGAGCACCGCGTATAAGCTTCAATATTTCTTCTTGAGTGTGTTTCTCTCATAGATCTCCACGTATTGCCTGGTGTCGAGCAATGGCCTCGAATGGCGCCAGCGACGGGCTCCCGATCCGCGATCCAGCCTAACACAATAGAGATCAGTGGTTCACGCAACGGGGGGCAGCGGCGTGTACGAACAAAAGCGCTCGCCGCTTTTGTTCCGGAGCACGTGAAAGCGCATTTCCCGGCACGAGCACCTGGCATTGAAACTGCTACAACGCCATTCTGCTACGGGCTATTTTTACAGCGATTGCTGTTTTGGGCTCTTCCCACCACTGGAAATGATGTCTGTTGTTGTTGTAGTTGTAGTAGTTGTCGTTGTTGATGTTGTAGTTGGTGATGTAGGGTGTCCATCATCGATGCTGCCAAATTCTAGAAAAAGATCGCCCGCCGCCCTCAGGAATCAAACCTGGGGCGGCTGCGTGAAAAGTGGTAGCGTTACCACTGAGCGAGGCCACAGCGTTAATAACACGCTCTAAGCTTGGGCTTTCTGTAGTACAACTGCCCACTGCACCCGCTCTCTCAAAAGAATAAATACGCCTTAAAGGACACATGCAAAGGAAAAAAACATTTTTTAAACGGCTTAGATGGAAAAAAGACACCATAAAACGATTTTACAACGAAGAAAAAAAAAATTTTACAGCTATATTTACGGCGCAAAACGAATTTGTAGTTGGCGCCCGCGGGCACCACGTAAAAGTGGTCCGTATTTATCACGTGACTGGTCTTTATTTATCACGTGGTGATTGCGCTCTTTCAAAAGCTTCCTATGGCCTCTAAAAGCAACTTATTCATCTTTGTTTGAAGTATAACAAAAAACCAAGACGAATAAGTAACTTTTAGAGCCCAAAGGAAACTCCTGAAAAAGCGCAAGCAGACGTGATAGACCTGTGCGCCGGTCAGACGACTGTGGCGGCGCCCCGAAGCAGACGAACTTCTGCGGCGGCGGCGACGGCGGCGTGCAGAAACGCGTTGAAGCGGCGTTCGCACAACGCTCAGCGTGCGGCGGCGACGCAGCGCGGCGGCGCGCGGGCCTACCACGTGACCAGCGGCGGCTCCCGCGAGCGCCAACTACAAATTCGTATAGCGCCGTAAATATAGCTCTAAACATTTTGTTTCTTCGTTGTAAAATCGTTTTATGACATCCTTTTTCCATCTAAGCTGTCTAAAAAAATGTTTCTTTTCTTTGCATGTGTCCTTTAACAAAATGCCGTCGTAGCACTGTCAATGGGAGACGCGCCTTCACGAGCTCCAGAACAAAAAAGAAACAAAAGCTGTAAAAAAGAATGGAACAAAGCGAAAGCGTTCGAAACAAAACAGATGCCTTTTTTGTTCCGAACGGTTTTGTTCACGCACGTCACTACCCCGCGGTGCGTGAACGCGACGCTGATAGACCCGTAGTTCTCAAGTATTGAGCAGCGCTCCAGGCGAGCAAAATATAATATTTGGCTCACTTTTCAGACATGCGTCAATGCACTTCCCCACTACAGTTTTTTATCCTCCGTGCCATTCGAAGTGCCAGCGTAACAGATGCTACAAGAGCGAGCTGTGAACTTTCAGCGTCCCTGTCAAGCACACGCGCTCTTGCAGTGCGAAGATCGTTCTTGAGGATGTGCTTCTGCGAGTAGCTGCGGCTCCGCTATCATGTAAAGTGGAACATACGTGCTCACGGAAGCTATAAAAGAGAACAAATATTAAAGGAATTTTTAATGGGACGCTGGCCGACCGCACATAACATAAATATTTTTATTTAATTTTTTTAAATGTTTTATTACCGCGCATCTACAGATGCTGACCGATACTTTTCTTTGAAAGTGCCAAGTGCAAACTCAAACGTTACAGCACCACACGGATGGTGCAGCCAGCATGGCATGGTCGTGTCTTGCGTAAGTCTTGCGCACGCACTCGCGCCCCCTGCCCCAGAGCAACAGGTCTATGCCCAACGTCTTCGCCGTGACGTGTCGCAGTTATCCCTCGGACAGCACCCTGGATGAACACAAAACTGCATAATTTTTGTTTTTGTTTCAGAGAGCGCCTGTGGTGGGTATTAGATACTGCAAAAACACTAAGTTTAGAGCGGGTTATTAACACTGTGACGTAGCTCAGGTTCTGTTTTCGAACGCGGTAGCGAGCGCACGTGGAATGGAACGCTCCACAGTGAGTTCGATGACGGCGGTTCGGAGCCGCGGTGGTGCCGCACTTGGCGACGTTCCGAATGACTACGCAATGATACTACCATCCTTACTTACCGTAGAAGCCATGAAATGCAACCTCGTGCTGCTGCTGATACCCGCGGGCGGCCGTATTTTGCTGAAAACTTCGTCGGGCATCTGAACTAAGTGCGAGTTCGGGAAGACGTGGCAGGACTAGGCGCACTTCGAATGGAGCAAGTCTGGCTGCTGAAGCTGTGCACCACCTTCTCCATAGGGAAGTTTTTGCGAGCGGCGACCATGCAGGTGAAGTATCTTTCATGCCTGGTCATTGATCCCGAAAAGAGAGAGATGAAGGTAAAGTTTACAGGGTGGCATTCGACGTATCTGCAGACGCCCTTCGAAGGGCCTTCGAGCCGTACGGGGAGGTCAAGATTATCACCCGAGAGAAGTAGAGGATCGAGGGCCTGGCGGACATAGATTCCACGACCGTCATCGTACGGATGGTGCTCCGTGAATACTTAACACCGAAGTCCGTGCCGCATCAGCTCCGCCTTTACGGGACACGCTGCTGGTTGTTGTACCCAGACGCGCACCGGTGTGCCTCCGCTGTCGACGCACGGGGTACATACGACGCGACTGTACAGTGACGAGGTGCGAGGACTGTACAGCCATAGCCTCCTCTATATTGACAAAACCTGGCAGATCGCCACGAGAAGCGGCTGCCGAAATTAAAAAGGTAGAGCGGCAGACAACGGATGAGAGGGGAGCTGCGTGCCGGGCGCCCCGCTGCGGCGAGACGCCGAAACACACTTCTCCTGAGCGATGTAATGTCCGCTCGTGCTCCACGCTTTCCTCACACTACTCCTTCTTTTCTTGTCGGTTTGAAAACCACGTTTCGGGTCCTCGGCCCCGCAAAAGCTCTGCGCTGACGTCCAGGTTCCCCGAAAAATGTTTTGTGGTACTAGATCCTCGCTCTCCAAATCTGCGACCGGGCCCTCTATGGCTCCGTCGTCGAAATGGCAGGCTTTGTGAGTATAGAGGAGGCTATGGTACAAAATTCAGTCATGAGTCCTCGGATTGCCTACTGTCGTACGCTCGGGCTGCCGCCAGCAATACCACTGAGAGCCAGAAAACAAACCTCGTAACAAACGAGAAAGAGGCCAAGGCGGCGGCGACTCCAACCAAGATGGTTTCTTCGCAAGACTCTCAGGCGCCCAATGCGCAGTAGCGCTCGCCGTTAGCGACGCCAGAAAGCCAGGTCTCCGCGGTATCATCGACATCAGAAAGCTCAGTTGGTCAAAATGAGCCCAATGCGAAGATGGCTAGCCAGGCGACACCGGCTATAAAGAACGCGACTGACTCACTGGAAGCCGGAGATGGTACTGCAATGGACTTAACGACTGAGAAGTTCAAGCGGCGGCTCAGCGACCGAGAGCTGGGAACCGACCAGTCGCTCCAGCACACTGCGCGTCACTGGTTGGTGGTCACAGGCAAGAAAGGATGACGCGCTGACTGTGGCCGTTCTTCGATTCTTCCCAGGTTAAGCGAGAGGTGAGCCCAGCGTATGAGGTCGTATACTCGCTTTTTGGTGGTTTCCCTTAAAAACGCCCTGCGCGTGGATATGTTCAGCATTGCGGACTTGAGGCCAGACGACGGCAGCAGCACCTCTACCGGCAGTTCCCCGAGCATAACTTGGGCATTGTCGCAATTCAGGAAACCTAAGTCGAAAGTGAGGGCCTGATCGACTACGTGATGCGGCCATTTCTGGCGCGGTATGGGATCTGTGTTATTTATGATGTTGGTTTTTCGTCTGGCTGCTGCCTGTTCCTAAGAAAATTTCCAAGCCCGAGTCGATAGAACATGTGTTTTTTAGATTGTTGGAACGCGGTGTTCTACTGGGATCTACTGCAGCGAACCTCAATAAATGAACTTCCTTCAAGCGCACACGGGATACCCTTCCTGACTTTTGCCCAACAGACACGGTATGATTTACTTATGGTAATTAGCGTACACAGTGCGACATGCCGATGTAGATGATTGAACTGTGTGTCAGTGTTATGCTCAGAGCATTAGTCAGAATAAAGAAGTGTATAATGTATTGGGAGATGGGCATGATCGGTTGCCCTTCGGGAGACGGAAGGGACACTTTAAGATCATGTTAATCAGTCTGCGCCAGTCGTATTTCAGCTTGTCAACTTTTGTAACTGATTTTGAAAGCGTATTTGTGTGTGATTAAATATTGATTGGCCATAAATAGAAAGGAAAAAAAAAAGCTGCGGCGTAGCTCAGCGGTAACGTCTCCACTTCGCGCTGAGCGGACCCAGGTTCGATTCCCGAGGGGGGCGAGTGATGTTTCTCAGGGATTTGCCAGTACGGACGACGGAGGCCCTACATCGCCAACTGCAACATCAACAAGGAGTACAACCACCGCAACCATAATATCATAAACGGACGTCAATTTCAGTGGTGGGAAAACCCTATAACAGCTATCGCAGTTAAAGAGCGTCTTTAGAAAATGTTCTTTCTTCCTTGTCTATGGAGGCGTCGTCACTGGTCGACACTATGAAAGCTATACGCATGCATCTGCCCGCGTGCAGGCAACGGAGAATGAACGATTTTGAACGCCGCTCTTTTGTGGAGCCTGTCAACTGATAGATTTAAAAATGCTGCTCAATGCGTGCGCTCACCTGCGCTTGCCGGCATTTGTGGCGCCATCTCTGAATAAGCAGAGCAAGTATGTCTGTCGTTCAATCTCATTCCCATAGCTGCCGCTCTACCATTGCAAATTTCACTTTTTGAATTATAATTTTAGTTCTATTGGGAATAAAGAATCTAAACATTAGTATGTTAATAAGTATTTGAGGAAAGTTACAACGCAGTATTGCAGCCGATTTCTACGGGCCATTTTGGTGTGTGCATTTTTTGGGTGGACAAGCTGTACTAATCATGGTGCAAAAAGCCTTGACATGTTAAGCAACTCAAGGTAACAGCTCAGGTAGGACGTTACACGCAAACACACGTCACCACCGGCCGCAAAAGCAATCACACTTAGATTCACAATCACAGCAGACAAAACACTCACACAGAGCTGACTCCATCTCAATCTATATTTGTACTTCTTTTTCTTCTACGCCTTTTTGATACATTCGTGAATATTGATTGAGTGTGATTGTATTTGTGGCCGGTGGTGACGTGTGTTTGTGTGTAACCCCCTACTTGCGGTGTTATTTTGAGACATGAATAACCAACTCACCCAAGCTGCAGTTTTGTCCATGTTAAGCAACGCCCGGGGTTACTCAAGCTCTCGGTGACTGCTGCAGTAGCTATACTGACTCGCTTTCGAAGTCTTTGACGTAAGGAATTTGCACAGCCAGCGTCACGCTGACATATCCTAGACAATTCCCCAAGGAACACTATACGAATATATTTCAGAAATAGAACACTAGTGATTTAAAAATGAAAGCACGAGAAAACTTCTATTCCTTTGATGAAGACGTTTATTTCTGTAATAACATGGCTTTTTTATTTTACATATTTAGACATAAATGATCGCTGGCAGACTTCATCCTGAAGCTTCGCATGACTTCGGCGCTTTTAGCCATTCTGTAATGACCAGCTTTCTAAAAGTATTTAATTACTATCATGATTCGCAATAATTCTGCATCAATATTTGCCTAATAAATATATTATTCTAACCTGAAACAGTCTAAGAAACACCACTAGAGATCAAACATTACGCGGGGTTATATATGTATGTAGTTTGAAAACGTGAGCATATCTTATGCAACTAAAACAGACTGAACACTTCATGGCTACAAGAACCATTAAAATCCTCCGGCCCATGTTCGTGCACTTTTTCATTCTGAATATGACGTAAAAATATAGACATATAGCTGTGTAAAATTTAAATTGTTTTTAAATTCGCCATAAGGACTACAAAATGCACCTGAACATTGTAACAATTTCACTCAGATTCTGCCATACTACGTCAAAGAAAACCTTTCTGATTTTACGGGATTTTCCGGGATGTTTCTCACTGGCGTTGTGAGTGCAGCGACAAGGTAAGTACTCAGAGTCACTAAATATTATTCCTTGTCACTCTCTGACCCTGAAAATGTGGGAACTTCAATGGATTGATTTCTCTGCCACCAACATAAGAGATACAGCTAGTGGTTGTAGTCGCAGTTTCTAATCCAACAAATTTCGTAAAGCCACGAAAACAAGACTGTCCCGCGTTCCCTGCCATTGCAACAACGAGTTCCGTCTGCTAAACACAGGGTGCATCCCTTTAACTTAACAAAACCAATTAAAACTTTATGAAGTTTTAAAGAGTGAAATAAATAATTTAATAATGAGAGAGGGACACGGGAATATTATCGTTTTCATGTCGAAGGAGAGATGGAAAACGCTCGACCTCGTCATTTGTTTGATATGCTCTTTGTCACCGTTATTAGAAGAAATACTGTTTTGGTAAAAAAAAAAAAAAACGTATGTCAATTTTTAAAATGACGGAAGCCGATCATAAGCGAGAGTCCATACTCGCTCGCAATAGAGTTGGTATAGACAATTTACCCATCATGGCGGAAGTGTCTACCCTGTAAAGTTATATTGAATCCGATAATAAAACTAAATCACCATCTTGTTTAAACGGGGCAATTGCCAGCCAAACATTTTTCCGCAGATTTGTGAAAGAAGACAGCATTGCTCGAAGATTGTTACTTAATCAGTTTTAATTTTTACGTTTTTTTTCTAGAACTTATGACAGAGGGAAGTCAATAACGTAGCAAAGCAACACTTATGATGGGTTTGTTTTCTTTCAACGTATGGAGGTGGATAACTTATGAAAATTATAATATTATCGCAATTAGCCAGGCCTGTGAAGTGTTTTGGGTTTTGGCCACAGGGGACCAGGGATACAAAGTTTTCGGGCAGACAACAGGAGTTTAAAATTACTCAAGAGTGATAAAATAGTAAAACAATGTTAACACACCAAAAACGAGTAAAATCTTAAGAAACTTTTTGAACAGAATGCATTCATTGATTGGTAGGCGACCTCTTTTTTTCACTATGTTAAATGTGTTTTCTTCACATTATTCCTCTCCTATAGTACTCCGCAGAAAAATGTGAATCTTTTATATAAATTAATGCCCAAATAAATACATTAAAATTCGAAGACTGTGAGGTTCCATCCAAGGATACTAGGGCTCTTTCTGGGCAAAGAATATTTCTTTCTCAAAAAAGATCATTTTTAAGGCTATTATCGGAACAATAGTGAATTGAAAAAAAAGAAGTTTGTACAAATAAACTTAAAACTACCATTCAAAACATGATAGAAGCTTGAGACGAGAACAAAGTAGAAAACTGGATAACACAGATCACTGCGCTGTGTTGTCCAGCGCTCTGTGTTGTCCAGTTTCCTACGTTGTCCTCGTATCAAGCGCTACCATGTTTTTGAATATCCAGTACCAACTCGACCAACAATCTGCACTAAAACCACCAACTTCTAAACATGCAGCACGATATCATCGATCATAAACTCCCAAGCGGCTGTCTTCTACGTGGACGTAATTGCACCTTATACAAAGCTTTCTGATGCCCAAGCCACAAAGCTCAACAGGAATTTGGGTACGTGACTATCCATTGATTTTCTTCCCATCGATCGAAACCGCGACGTAATTCCTCCCAGTTCCGCAAAATATTGTTGAGATTTGGATACTAAGGTCACTGAAAAGTTTATAAAGGCAAGGAGGAGCTTCGTACTTTCGACCACGCTCGGCGCCTTGTGCACCTGAAGCACGGATGCGCAGCCGTAGCACGCTGGAAGGCATGGAGCGCTGTCTAAAGAAGGGGAGCGTTCAAAAGACTTGCCCTGCTGTTATCTTTCTGCAAGCATCTATAGAGAATTTCAATCACGGTGCACCGAATGATGCCCCATGCGCGCAAGCACATGCAGCTTTCGCGTGAACATAGCTTTGGCAAGCTTACAATAGCATGGGCTTGTCTGCACGGCAGCGGCTAGTCGCCTTGCTTGCAATTGCGGAAATGGACTTAAGGCTTCTGTCATTTTCAGCGTTCATGCGTATGGCGCGTGCTTTGCTCGCTTTCCGAAGCGGTGAACATGCGTGTCCTGGGCTATGGAGATCGCCCGATTGGCTGTTGATTCGTAAACATCGGAATGCTATACAGACCATCTGTTATTCTCAGTGATTTCATGTAATATCGCCGAGGACAAAATAAATCACAAACTAAATTAATCTTGCGTTTATTTGCGGACTTACTGAACGTGACCTTGTAACTTTTGAAGTTTGGGAGCATATATAAGGATTGCGTGCATGTTAATGTAATTCGCTCACTCTTTATGAAATAAAAATGAAAAAAAAAATTCCAGGTTCCTCGCGGTGTCATGCAAACGAAGTTTGGCGTCAGCAGAAACACGGCACAATGTTGTACACAGTTAAACTGTCCGCTAATAATTCAGCGGACGTTCTTGCGTGTACGTTTAGTGAGCGGTGTTGATGTTACTCTGTAACGGCATGACATTACGTCACACTGTGTCTTCACGTGACACAAAGTTCGCGTTACGTAGCGGAAATAATTTCCCGCGAAAGTTCGCGAAGGGTTCCCGCAAAATTTATGGGCAAAATGTTACTACCTAAATATAGCGCGAAAGCGTGACGCCATGTGATATGATGTCACGGGACGCCGTGTGGTTGTAATGTTACAACAATGTGATTCTCCGCGTAATTTAGAGGGTTAGGATGTATTGTGGCATCAATATAGAACGTACCAACGGAACGCCGGCCGGAGCATTAAAATCTCGGATACGGCGCCCCTAATGCGATAAGCTGTTGGGAGGGAGGTTGGAATAGACTACAGGCTATTTCATGCCTGGGTGGAAGGAGGGTGTTACTAGCGAGAAGCTGTGAATCGGTGGTGAACATCATTTATCGCCAAGGCTCTAGGGTGTCAATTGTGAATTTGATTAATCCTATTCACCACGGATGCAAGGCTTATCCGTAGTCACAACCTCACATCCCGTTTCATGAAATCTCTGTTGCTCGTGCCGTCATAGCTCTCAACAGATTATCGCGTCAAGCGCGTCCTGTGCGAAAGTTTTACCACTCCTGCCGGCGTTTCTTGAAGCCCGCTCATACTTCCAAGTTAAAGAATAAGGTAAAGCAATACGTACGGTGCCCGCAAGCTCTCAGCGGAATGCGCGAGGCAAGCAAGTACAGAGGAAAGCAAACGCACAGTGTGTATGAATGCAATTATGCGCCGCTTGCGCTTTGCAAAGAGCATCTATTACATAGATGCCTTACGCAGCTGCAGCGCCATCTAGACGTTCCCAACGTTCCCATGCACATTGCTACAAGCAGTCCAAGGACGGTAATCGTCCTAGCCAGAACAACGAGAAGGGAATGTGGAGGGGCGGTGCGTACAGGCGCAGGAAATCGAAAGCGAGCGTACCAGTATGCACAGCTCGCTGCGCTTCGTGCGTATGGCGCATGCGCAGTGTGAAGCGTTCAAATCTAACGCGAACGCACAGCGCTTGTGTTTGCTCCTATACGCAACAGTAAAACTCTGAACTAAAACACTTTACTGATGCCCATTGTACGCCCACAAAATACACTCGGGATCCGTTTCGCAACCTTCCCAGTGACGACAGTCACCATAATATATTAACTTCGAAAAAGTGCCCATACGGAGCGTTTTATTTTTACTTCGAACGTAATTTTATTACACAAGAGCCGTTCGATGTTATCAAGCTGATGGAATAGCGGTCACGGTAAGTAGGATGACTTACTCAAATTCGTTCATTAACTTTTTCATTATTGGTTTAACAGATAATGTAGCAACTCCAGTATTGACGGTAGCGGCAATCAAAGGCTAAACCAATGGAATATTTTTTTCTAATTGCCAAAGGGCTTCGAGATATTCATCAATGTCTCGTTAATAAAACTGCCGTTCTCCCAAATTCGTTCATAACCTGAGTCGTCCATAATTCATACGAAAATTTATATATTTACTGACTTCGACCACCCAAATCTTGCGTATATAGCGGGCTACTTTATTAACGAGGCTTATATAAACGAAACATTCGTGTTAAGATTTTGCGATGTATATGTACTTTGAACAGAATATAGAAACTAGAAGGTTTGTGCAATAATACTTTCTGTTTGCTTTCGATTGCTTTCCAGCGCTTGGTTTTGGCCTTCTGATGACGTTGTGCGCCACAGCTGTACCTTATCTCGGCTCCGTAGTGCGGGTAGGTGTATGCGAGAGCCGTGGAGCAGAACTATCCTGAGTTTTATTGCAAACCTGTACGAAATTTGGTCAGAAGCAGTTTGGGTTCTTTCGAATTCAAACACAAGAGCAAATATTTGTAATCTAAATTTGAAAAAAAGCTCCATGCTGGAATATTAAATATTTTAAAATAGCTCGGGACGAAGTCACTATTTATACTTTTATCACATGTTTATTACATGGTTATTTGCTTATTTCACTAATAAACTGGTCTATAGAAAAAAAAAACTGAGTGCTCGGGTCCAATGAGAAATTAGTAATCAATAAACATGCATATTTTGATATTGGTATACGCACAACGGGATGTCACAAATGCAGGCAATGTATTTGGACATTAAAACACCGAGTGCTTGAGTTTATTCAAAACACACTTAGATGAAATAACTAAAATCGTCGCGGTGAAATTTTGGCAAATGATAAAAACAAACGGATCTAAGAATGTTATATTATTGAATTAACAGCGCAAATACGACAGGAAGGAGCGACAAGGGAGACAGGATAGAGCGCTGAACTAACAACTGACGTTTAATGAAAAGGAGAATGTTATTCTGCCCTCCGACACCGAGAAGCATGTTTCGCGAAATTTTATATCGGCCAATAAAATTTTAGTAATATTTACGAAAACTTTTTTCGACCTTGACGCCTTCCATGTCCCTTGATTGAACAAATGTAGTCTCGAATCTTTTGCAATAATGCCGTATTATTGGTTTAAATCTTCGAAAAAAAACTGACGAGTCATACTTGAAAAAGTATGACTCGTCAGTTTTTGTTTTGTCAGTGTGAATTACATGGTCTGCAGATACTTTCTCCAACACACACTGTAATTATTATTTTTAAGTGGAAATTTTGCAATTGTTTGTGCCTATCAAAAATTATTTAAATTTTAGTGTTGTTTAACAGCCTTCTCAGGATATTGAAAAAATATAACGATTACTTGTTAAATTGGCTATGTCAATGAGCACTGAGGAAATGCGGGACGTGATAAATCAGTTTTAAGCATTTTTTTACTATTCTGCAGCAAATCAGTTTGCGGGATTTCCAGTTAAGAATGCATAAGAGCGAACTGCAGAGCAAGCAGCGCGATCATAAAAGCCACACTTTACTTTTTTGGCGGATATGGTTCTCTATATAACGATATTAGATGAGAGGTGATAAACGTGTATTCCTTTATAGATCATCCTGGTGATGCACAACGGAGCAACCGGACCCTTCGTTGGATTATTCCTATTGGCTCTGGCTTTCCCGTGGGCTAACAGCAAGGTAAGTTATGTTATATATGGTTAATTTTCCGAAATACATCACCATCACAAAGAACATTCTTACATTTGCTGATGGTTCATCAGGCTGGTGGTCTGTCGTAGTTTGGGACATTGATGGTCCGATGGTTGGATTGGTCCGATGGCCTGATGCTTAATAATGTGATGGTTTGATTGCGTAAATGGTTCATTGGTCTAACAGTCTGGCGTATTTTGGGACGTCTGACTGCATGATTCTTAGACGCTAGGCTGATCTAAGATTCTATGTGAATTTCTTACTTCACACGAACCGGAAGAGGGAGAAGAATATCATTTCAGACTATATTTTGGTGCTAATCATTAATTGAACAAAAGGAATAGACGCTTTGCACACGCGCCAAATTACAGCCGCCATTGGTGACCTTCTCTTGTCTTACCAAAATGCCGAGCAACTGAAACGGTAGTTGGCGATCCTCTGCAAAGGCCGATGCTTTAGAAAAGGACACAGTTGAATCTAATTTGGCAATAACCTGGCCTTCTATGGTAATGATGAAGTGAAATAAACGGAATAGGAGGAAACAAATACTGAAGGTCAGTTATGGCGGCGTCCATGCACAGCTGCTGCAAAGCGTCTATACTGTGAAGCATTGGCAAGCTTTCCAGAATCCCCACCCACTTAAACCTCAAATTGCATTTTCGAATTATGGTTGTGGCATGCCATTATTTTATGTTACAAATTATTGAGCGTATAATTAAAATATTAAACCTCAAAAACAAAATTGAGAAAAAATTTCCGTCTACAATCTACAATCTACAATCTGTCTTTTTCGCCGATTCTGGGCACGATGGTGTCCAGTTGTTTGAGGGCATAATTGTGCCCGCCAACAACGCACAATGCACTTAGCCTTGTCACGCCGATAATGTGGTAAGCCTGGTCTTACGCGGCATTCGCGGCCTTTCAAATGTTTTATCCTCTAACACATTTTGATATACTACAGGTCCGCCTAATAAATGAGCTTTGGCTTAAGTAGACAAACTTTTTGGCGCATTCTCTGATACCGGTATCGCAAGCATACTATCTACTTGACATCCAAGCGGATCAACAAGCTGTTCCAACGTCGTACTAGAGCAAAACTTAGAACAAAACTATGGCTCCATAAGCATACCTAGGCGTGTAAGACGGTGCATTTCTGAACTCCCAAGTATCATAGGACGATGATTAAGGCAAATGATTACAGACTTAACTCAGTCATCGAGCCGCACCACTTTCAGCTTTTTGTACTGGATGTAATTCCCGCATGCGCGATGACGTCAGATCATGTGCACCACAATTAGGTCTCAGCTAAAAGGTCCCGAAAAAGGTCAGAATCTGCACACCGCCAAAAGTTATCATGAGAAAAAAAATCCAACTTTTTGTCGCTCTGATTGGCCATGGAAATGCTCTCGTAGTCTAACCCGGCCGACATCAACACGTTTTGATGGTCTAGCAGGCATCGCCAGAAACATTTGTATGCTGTGTCAGCTACCTTCCGAACTTACTGGATAGTTTTAAGACAATATCAACGGCCTTTTGTGGTCTGTCAGCCACCATCACAGAATATTGGATGGTTCATAAGACACCATCAAGGAAGTTGGCCGGACAATGAAGAAAGTCTGTTGGGCAATCAGGAGGTAAATTAATGACTGACGGGCCATAAAAAACTTTATGAACCTCCAAAAAAAATGGCGAAAACACTGTCATTACAGAGAATGAGCGAGGTCACGACACAGACGTTTCAAACAGCTATTTGAGCTGTGTTTGAGACTTCTCCGTTGTGCCGTTCTCCACTCTTCCTAGTCTGTGGATTCAGAATATTTTGTTCAAGAACCACCAGTTCATTTTTCCCCTTAGAATTTGTTCATAGAAAAAATAGATGGGCCATTAAGAAAGTTTAATGAACCATAAAAACTTTCTGATAGAACATCCAATATTTCAGATGTTTTTTTTTTGTTTTTTTTTATGAGTTTACAGTAAGGATTAGAAAGTGTTGGTCAGGAAATACGCACTGCGAAATATTTAGAAACCGGCGCGCCCATTGTCGTAGCGCGAATACATGCTTTGAAAGGAAATAGAGGTTAAAAAGATTGCAATGAAAATAAAGGAAATTATTTTTGTTCTGCCCGCATTTTTAACTTAAATAAATTTATATTACTAAATGTAAGACTGATTACTACAGATCAGAAAATGTTAACTTTTCATACCCCCCTTAGACCCCAAATTATTTCTATCAAGAGGATTTCCATCTACCATGTTTATTACTATTAGCCTAAATATATAATATACATTCTTCGAAAATTCCGAGCGATAGTATTGCAACACTTAGGGCCTATTATTTTATAATGCTATGCCACAACAAATTGCCTAAAAATATGATCGTTTCGGCCTCATTACTAATATTATTGAGATGGAATGGAGCGCATTATAGTCCTCATCATATTATAGACAGTTTCCATTTCAGGGGGCTGCCGTCGCAACTTGCCTGACAACAGGTCTACAGTTCTGGCTGGTTTTGGGCAAATTCCTGAACAACATCCAAGCCCCAAAAATGACAGTCACGCTTGACTACTGTCCGGCGAGCTACACCTCTCTAATAAAGAACTCCACAAGCTTCTTCCTGACGCAAACATCGCCTCATGGGTATATCAGAGCAAATGAACCTTGATTCTACATATGATAGCTAGAAAAATACATACGTATTAAACTCTGTCTTCAGTGGAACTTCGCACAGGAAGACATTAGGCCCGTAGGTCTAAAAGGACCGAATAGTCCCAGTGGCACGCAGCGAGAATATTGCCACTGAGTACCTCTGGTACTAAGTGATAAATACATTTCATATTCGCCACGACTTCGCACAGCAGCCAGTAAATAGCTGAGCGCACGTGACGAACCTCCTTCTCTCGCAATAAGGTCTCAAGGGACAGAGCTAATGTCATCACCCACAGCCTCAGACACCCTCCATGTCAGGCGTTGCATACAAAATCAGCCATAGCTCCGTGCATCCAAGCATAACAAATAATAAGACATGCACAACGCTCGCACGATACACTGTGCTTCCCGGGTTTTTCAGAGTGATCAAGTAAAGAGTTATTGGAAAGGAAGCTTGCATTAGGATACGTCTACCCGTGAAGTTAATTGGGTTCTGATGGAGGCAACTGGATAAGATTTGAAATGGGTTAATTATTTATCTAATTAGCTAAATAGCTTAAATTAGCTTTTTCTTAGTAAATATTTCGGGTATATTGTGTATGTAGAACTGGCACTCGGCCTCAATATGGCTTAATTGTGTTGTATAATATTTATGAAGAAACAATCGCAGTGGGCGCCATGGGGCGAGAAATGTCAATCCTTTTTGCACGAGCTTTAAATCAAAGCTAATCGCGTAAAAACCAGCGCTATCACAGCCGGCTTCGATTGCGGAGCCAGCGGAGGTTCGTGAGATCGTCATTACGGGCTGCCTTTCATCTTAGTTTTGGTTTCAAGTCACGTAAATTGGCTATCTTTTTGCCTCGTAGCACTCACTATGAATTTCTTATCAAATCCCATGGTACCAATAGACAAAAATGAGATTGAGCATCAATTCTGTAAATACATCATTCCATAAAAAAATATTACAACGTTAACGAAACGTTTTAAATTCTAATCATTTGATTTTTCTATATTTTATAGCAATCGGCATGACCATCAACTTTCGAAAAAAAAAACGGAGATGACGGGCGAAGAAGGGGACAAACACAAAACGTCCACCTTTCTTCGTCCCTCGTCTCCGGTTGTTTCAAAAATGTGCAACAGCAACCACCTCTTCTGTTTCCTTTTTGTTTTAATCATCGCCATCAATTTGGTTTCAGGGAGTATGTCAAACGCTCGCTGGACGCGGACTTTCAGATAACAAATATCTTCGCCATAAAATTTCGTGTTTCTTTTTACAAAGCCCGCAGGACTTTTAAATATATACCAATAATATCACAAATATCATGGTATGGTGAGCAAAATCAACATGGTGCTCTCAGCCAATGACTGTACACACTTGTTGGTTATCTCCATTATTCTGATGAAGTAACCATCCAAGCCTGTCTTCATCATTTTGATAAACCCTAAAATAACAAAAATGAATTGTGCATGCATTATGAAAGACACAATTTGTTATGCATGACTACGGGAACCAATGAATGGTTTCGAGAGGCGTTACGCACCATGGCACACTCGTATTTTCTTTCCGGTTTATCAGAAGGACTAATATAGCTTTAAATTTATTGAGGAGTAAAGTGAGCAAAGGGGACGCTTCAATGAGAAGTTTTCAAATGTATTGCGTTTTCCGAGGGTGCATTTAGCTCATTGACTTCTTTGGGCTCGTGGAGCGCGAGCAGCCCCTTTAGCAAGTGCAGTAATCGCAAAAAGAGTAGGTTTATTGAACACGTCACGCTACCATTGTCTGCTATGAGAAGTTGTGACGTCATACGCCTGCTGTGCTATTCGTTGTTGCGTTGTGATCCGCCCATTGACCTTGTGCGATCCCGCGGGGAGCTGAGCTTAGTCATTTGGCAGTCAGCGGCGCTCACTGAAGGTTGCCTGCTATCACTCTAAAAAAAGTCCGTGCGTCTACTTACACGCACAACACTCGGAGAGCCAATCAGCGCAACTTAAGGAGGGAGCTCAGCGAATGACGATGCCGAAACATATGTTTAGACCGAAAAACGCAGTCTGAGTTGTGGCATTAAGCGATGCAAAACGTCAAGCCTTGTGTTGCTTAATCTCACAACTCAGACTGCGTTTTTTGGTCTAAACATATGTTTCGGCATCATCATTCGCTGAGCTGCCTCCGTAAGTTGCGGTGATTGGCTCTCCGAGTGTTGTGCGTGAAAGTAGACGCACAGACTTTTTTTAGAGTGTACTACCGACAGTTATACTTAGTCCAGCTGCGCTTGCGCACCCTTTCCCCCTAACCCTCGTTGCGCAGAGCAGAGGCCTCGCTCTGTAGACCGCGTGGTCCGGGGTTAGATGCCCTTTGAGTATCGTAAAAAATCTCGGTCGTTCGAATTAATTGTACCTAATTATGATTAAAGATAATCAGTTATGACGAGGTATATCACTTATATGTTTTAGATGATTATGCATTGGTCCTTTGGTATCCACATGCTTAATATTGTGTTGACCTGTCTGTAACGCTTCTTCGTCACACGTAACACTTTCTGTATAAAACGAAGCCTATAAACACACATCCTGTTAAAAGGCGCCAGGCACTTAAGGCTTGACTGTTGTCGCCCAGAAGAAGCAGAATACGACGGCTAAATTAAATGCGCTTAGGAAGAAAAGCGGTGTGAGGAAAGCCGACTTACAATTGGTTTCTAGAGACAAAATATAAACGCGTACACGCCGACGCAATAAAACTATGTAAATCATTCAACACGTTATTTTTGTACAGTACCAGAAGCACCAACGAACGCATGTTACACTTACGCTTGACACGTGTAGGTAAGATAGAACAGTGAATTCTTTTCCCAGGTTTATAACCTCGTTTTATCTGCTGTTGTTTTGTTGTTTTTTCATTAAAGAACTTGTGAGGTAGCGCCCTTTTTGTGGACTTTGATAACCTATCGCTCGTTCATTACTGCTGTCCTTTTTACAATCATGCTGGTGATTCAGAGTAAAGTGTTTCTTTTATCACATTTGGCTTTGGTGATGGCTTTATAATTTCACGGCTAATATCGTGTGCCCCATCGCTTAAGTCCATAAGCTCCGACATTCAACCCTTTTATTATTTAATGGTGGGCAGAAAAATTTTAGCATTGAAGCTGTCTAATTTGCTGGACGAATGAACAGCTGTAAAGCCTTGCAAGGGGATTCGGTTTACTTCGAGTCATTTTAGTTTTAGTGTCTCCTGCATTGGAACATAAGTAGAAGGGAATTCTTCGTAAACTCCTGGAGACTGAATGTTTAAAATTTTCAGCTTGTTTATGGCGAGACAGCTGTGCGGGAAAACAGCAAAAAAGGTAAACTGGAGGGTAAAAAATAAAAAAAAAAAGATAAACGCCTACCAAATATAATGTTCTTGACGAACCAGTATTGTGTGTCAATACTTTCGCAGAGCATGCACATGACTCGTGTCAAAGCGGTGTAGGAGGTAACCTTATTCAATATAAAAATAGCTAGATGAATTCACACGAAAATGAATTCTACGTGACAATACTGAACTGAAAGATTTTCCTGTGGAGTATTCAGAGGAAGAATTATTTTTGCAAACAGACATCCCTTGCCGCTTTATTCTCGAAGCTCATTCTCGCTATCCCTAACACGTCTTCTCTAAGGGTGACTATACAATACGGCCTCCCTTATAAGCTTCTCAAATCGTTGAACTATAAACGAAGCGCATAAAAAAAAACGAGCAACACCTAGCCTCGTTTCGACATCTACGTTTAGCATACACATACAGGGGACTGCCAGTCTCAACTTTCATCACTGTACAGGTCGCAAGACGCCCTTCCCTTCTACTACCTATCAGCCTATTGGAGTGGCCTGTTTTCTGCACTGCTCACCATCGTGCTCGGGCTGAGTGTCAGCATCTTAACAGGTTGGTTACGCGTTCCCTCTCACGAAGCTCGTGAGCCGATAACGCCACTCACTAATATTGGAGGTCTATTAACTTGGGTGGTATCATTACCGACTAGTTGAAGAAAAATATTTTCTTTTAATAGTTCCAAACCTGCTACGAAACAAAGTAGGTAATGCTGCAGGTTTACTCACCAGATCGCAAATAATGCATAAATTTTCAAGAGACTTAAATCCTGGTTCCACTGAACAAACAAGCTGCGAAAAAACGAGCGATTTCGCCAATCGGCGCTGACTCTGCGCGTGGCGTAAAAATAGTACCTGTTGCGCCCCCGGGCAAAAGCGGGGATTGCAGGGGGAAGCTCTTCGACTCTTCATCGCTTATTCGATTTGTGAAGTTTACCATTTTAAGTCGAGATCAGTGATTTTTTAATGAAGGTAATGTAAAATTTACTGAATATTCCTTAGGCCGTCGCAACTGTGCGTGTGACTGAAATTTGTTAATTTTAAATGACCTGTCCGACTGTTTGTTTACAGTCTGCAGATCTTGCATCTGCTTGATGAGGTGCTGGGAATTTTGAAAGTTTTTGCAGAAGAAGAAAGTTAATATACAGCGAATTTTTACTAAGCATAAAATAATCTAAGCAAATGAACAAAAACTCTAGATATCGCCAAGTAAACGTTTCATCTCGCTTTCTTTAACATTCAATGTATAGAGATATTAACGGTCCACTTTGCTACAAGAAACAACGAAGCAAGCGCTTTGCTGACGCTGTACGGGCTCTTAAAATCATTTGGAATCCTCCCGTTGTCTGGACCGCTTGTCTCTGTTCAGTTCTTACAGAATTGTGCTCCACCATTTGGTTAGAAGATGGAACACATTGTTCAGCTCATTAGTCAAACGCTGATGCAATCAATTTCTTGTATGTTTAGCACTGAGGGTGTCAGCCTTGATTTTTATTCCTCGCCATGGGAACGCAGACGTTGAATACCTTTGGCCAAATCACGGCTCAACTCAATCTAAAAAAACACACCTGTATTGCTTCTAAGGTCATACAAATTAACACGCTTCTTTTACATTGCAGGTGGAAGGAAAAAGTGCCGTGATCATGTGCGCTTGACTAGCGGAGCATTTCTTGGGCTATGGAGGAAAATTGGACTTTTGACCGGTGAATCTGTGGTAAGTCACAGCTACCATAATTTTGTTTATAGCAGGAAGTCTTTAGCTCTATAGACAGTGGCTGTTTAAGCGCAACTAGTGACAAGTCAATGCGTCCTATTTTAGCTTAGTCACCAATGAGAATGCGGAATTAGCCGTTAATAACGTCAAAGAACTAATCTCGAAGCAAGAAGCACGAACGTCATACGTCACAATCTACATGCCGTAACTTGCCAATTAATACGGCTGATATTTGTCAAATTTGTTTAAAAGGCAGCTAGTAAAGAAAAGTTTACACTCGACCACCAATGAGAAGTTTTTTAACATGATGTTTTATCTTTGATTTCTATTGCACGGGCCAGGTTAATTTTCATCTGTCAGTGAAGGAGAGCTTCCAAAATATGTGTCAATCTTGACTGGGCCTACTTAACTCGTGGCTAGTAAGGTCCCTTATTACTCTTCACTCTCTTTTACATAACCCAGCTGCCATAGTCGGTGGCAGGTTAAAGGAGCACCAAAGAGTGTTCTGCAATCGTCTGCTTTTGGTCATAACTGATTCTACGGGCCCTAAACATCCTCAGAATCCAAAAATTACAATCACGCGACGTCGAATTTCCTTTTAGGAGCGTGATTAAAGGTCGGAAAACACCACTTTCTGAGCCAATTTTTCCGCTTAGCAAAAGCTGGGTTTACCCCAGCAGCGGTGTCAGCCAACTGTCAGTGCGGTGACAACGGGCGCTCGTCGGCTAATCGCCAGTCGCCTCTTTTGGGTTTGCAATTCAGAGGCTTCTTGCAATTGGAAGATAAACGACCGTGGTCCCCGAGCTCACGCCGCTGCTGGGGTGTGCCCCGCCTTTCCTGAGCGAAAAAATCCACTCAAGAAGGGGTGTGTCTCGACGTTTCATCACGTTTTTAATAAGGACACTGGCGTCGCGTGACTAATTTCAGAGTTTTAGGAGGCTTGAAGCCCGTACAATCAGTAATTGCCAAAAACCGACGATCGAAGAATCTTCTTTAGTACCCCTTATAAATGCAGTACATACTGTGCCTCATGAGCAAGCTTTCTACCCTTTGACTGCGCTGGCACCTTCAGCGCCAGCGCAGCCAAAGCCCGGCCGAGGGTCACAATCGCATGCAGCAGGAGAAGACTCTGCCGCAGTCTAAAGGTGTTACTGACTATTACAAGCATGACTGAAAAAGTCGCGTTTTCCAGTTTATGCTGTTGCTAAACCCTCCATGTCCTACTTAAAATGCGTGTGTGTATTTTTCAACTTTACATATGAACATATATGCCAAGCAGTTTTGACTCTAGAATATTAATTGACAGTCGATCAGTTTCCAGTTATAAAAAGTAAATATTCAACTGTACACTGCAAAAAAAGCCCGTGCATTTGCTTTCCCGCAATACTCTGGGAGAGCCAATCACCGCTGCTCTCAGGGGAAGCTCAGCGAATGACGATGCCAAAACATATGTTCAGACCAAAAAACACAGTTTGAGTTGTGGCATTAAGCGATGCTAGCGTGACGTTTTGCATTGCTTAATGTCACAACTCAAACTGCATCTTTTGGTCTAAACATATGTTTCGGCATCGTCCTTCGCTGGGCTGCCTCCGTAAGTTGCGCTGATTGGCTGGCCGAGTGTTGCGCGGGGAAGTAGACGCACGGGTTTTTGTTTGAGTGTAACCTCATATATCCGACGAAAGAGCGACATATACTTCGGCTTTGGTTGGCAATTTTTATACAGTAGGCAGAACTTCAGGTTAAATAACATGTTATGCCTCCTGTAGAAACGTAGTAGTCACATTGATTTGTGAGAATGAACAACGTTTCTAATGAGAGTCTTTTAAGTGACCACTAAGAGCTCTTACCACTTTACGCTCAGGTGTGGGATGTGCATCATATTATGCACTCGACCAGTAACGAATGCCCCCCTTACACGGATTGTTCAGTTACAATAGCAAGTGTCAAGTTTATTTCACGATGCTAGGAAACTGAACAAAGGATTTGTGTATTGATATTTAAAAAAAAAAAGCTTTATTTTTACCTCAAGTATGTGACATGCGATTCCATTTCATGGAGTCTTTGAGCCAAGGTTGATAAAAATAATGGGTGAAATTCTTACTAATAGGGACTTGCTTATGCAGCTCAGATGCCTTGGATTAAACTGAGAAGTACACGCTGCACATTTCTTTTGGTAGCGGTAACGCAATTAAAAATGAAAATTGAAAAGAAGGTATCAAAGCTATTTTACTTTTTTATAAGAGCTAAGACAACATCTCCTAGATAAAGAAACCTCAGCGCGTTCCCGCGTTACTAAAAATGGCCACCGTAGGTCAAAGATTTGGGCACGGCTGCGCCGTCTGCGTTCCGCTGAAACTCGTGTGCAATTAGTGAAAACACTGATCCTGAGCCGGCCGCTGACGCCTAGTCGTTGTCCCGACTTTGGCCTACGGTGACCTTCTTTGGTGGCGCTGGAAAATTAGGTACTTCTTTATCTAGGACGCTCTGGTTAAGTAAAGAAGCCATAAACCGACCAGGACAAAACTTCTCAGGTGTGTTGAAAATCGTGCATATTGTAACAACGGCTTTGGCGTTACGTTCTACATATTATTTATATGAAGCATCTACCAGTTTAACCTTCAAATCAATTCATTGTCCGATTTCACTGTACGACTAATAAGTGCGGCATTATAAGTGTGCTAAACAGTTAGTTTACTGTAAAGATGGTGTTTCTATTTATAAAGAAGGTTTCAGACTAATGTTTTAATGCCTTGATTTGATATCGACCCCTTGACTTGGTTTTACTCGACAAAAAGACGAAATATAGAAAAAAGGCACTCGCTTTATTTGTTCTATACCTGCAACTTTGAAAATTTTATTGCCCTTGGACCGTCTTTTTTTATATGTGTCTGTTCTCCTCTCTCACTCAGGTGCCCGGAAAAGGCGCACAAGACGAACTTGCGGATATTCTCAAGAACGAATTTGCCCGGGAATACTCTCTTATTTCGAATCAGAGTAATGTCTAAATCTAGCCCAGTTGTCACAAGGAATACTTAATGTAAAGTTAGAAAACGTAAAACTATATCATCATCACCACCATCGTTATTATTATCATTGTCACTGCGTTCCACAATTCTTGTAGAGAAAATTTAAACTCAAACTCACTTTATTTTCGACTACACAATTGTACAACCGACGGAAGCGTGGACAAAAAGCCAATACATGTTGGCTTGAGGAGGCCCATGCCAGTCTCCTGGGCAAACGTAAACACAGTAAAAAACAAACAAAACACAGAATTTAACTTTAGGGAACAATATAAAGCAAACACAAAACTTACAGATACAAAAATGTCTCATTGTTACATCTACACACGCCTCAATATGATACAAATATATAACTTATGAAATGTGGTGTTGGCGAGGTTATGTATTAGCATCTGGGTTCTGTAATTTGTACTGCTTTCTGATATTTTCCCAACGGCTGTAGTACAATGGTATACAACTTTCAAATTCGCGTTAAATTAGCTATTTGGACAATTACGTGAATGATCATTTTTTATGATTTTTATGAGTCTAAGTAAGGAAAAGTCATAAAGATGAATAATTGGGATGAAGTGCACTGCTTTAAAAGGGGTTCTCTATATGTGTCAAAATGATACATTATTGATGGACTCAACTGCACTTTTTTAAGAACATGACGTTTGTTTATGTTTGTTGCTGTTGTGGCTCCCCAAACGAGATTACAATAATTCAGATATGAAGTGAGCAGAGCGCTGTATATCAGTAATTTAATGGTTACTAGGAGGTTTAAACTAAGCTTGCTAAGAACACCTACAGCTTTAGAAATCTTACCGATGATAACTTCAACGTGGCAATCTCATGACAACTTTTCTTGAGAAATTACGCCTAAAGTTTTAGCAGAATGAACTATCTCAATAAGAGATGGCCATATCACATGGTTGTAGTCGAAAATGATAGATTTTCTTCTTTAGTTTAAAACGCGCTGACTTATATTTAAATGTGTTATTTTGCAGTTAACTTAATCACTGTACATGTGTACAGTGATTTTATATTGAGTTTAGCAACCAGAGCAAGCGTTCCATTGTCAACTGCAGGACAAGATAAACTAGTACCATCGCCACAAATTACGGAGGCTGCGTTGTTACTAATTTTAATTATGTCCTTGATGTAAATATTAAAGAAACAAGGGTGCCAATATACTTTCTTGAGGAACACCGGCAATCAGAGGTAGTGAGTTAGAACACTGGTTACCGATGACTATAGACACTTGACGTAATTGTAAATATGAAGCTACCTGTTCGAGTGTTATACCACGGAAACCGTAAAAATCATGTTTTTTTTTTAAAGTAGAGTTGTATGATTAATACGATCAAAAGCTTTCAAGACGTCCACAAAAACTCGCTTCTGCTTTTCTTCAAATGTTTTTAAGATTATTTCTCTTTGTGTTAGTAGGGCAAGTTCGGTCGATCGTACCTTACGAACACCGTATTGTGTTGATGTAACAATAAAAAAAGTATTACAAAAATAAGTGATTCTGCTATGTATGATTTTTTTAAGACACTTGAACGATACGGGTAAAACTGAAATGGGCTTGTAATTTGACGGCTCATTTTTGTTTCCGACTTTGAAAAGAACAACGCCTTTGAAAATTTGAATACGGCGAGAAAAGGTTTAAAATAATAGTAATAATAATAATATTATCATCGTTAATTTAATGTGCCCAAATCAACCACGCGTGTCTTCACTTTCGCGCACGCAAGATAAAAAGAAGAAACACAACACGTGCACACCTTCAAATGCACAAATCAGCATGACTCCAAATAGGTTTCACACTTCAGACAAAATGTAATAGAGTTTCAACTTTCAACTAGACTTGCCAAGTTCCGGCGAAAAACAGGGAGATCTGTGAAAATGTCTAAGCTAGAGGATGCGATTGTATTAAATGAAATTTGCATACGGGACAGTGGTGAACGTTTAGCGAGGAATCCAACGTAAAAGAGTAAAATTTCTGGTAACGCGGCAAGGAACATGAAACTCGACTGAATTCAGAACTAGGTTAGCATCAGCCTAACCATTTACCACCGTGTACAAAAAAATCAGACCACGCTGAGATCTTGTATTAGACAAAGGCCTTAGTAAAACACTATTAAGAAGAAATTCATAACCCTAATAAAAGTGACGCTGAAAGTGTTTATCACATAAAATGCGTATCATTATTTTTTCATAATTTAATGCTTCCGCACTGTGTGCGTGTAAGAGAATTCCAAACAACACAGGAAAGTTCAAGCCGTGAACGAACCAAAGCACAAAATAAACGAATCATAAAAGCAGGGCGTCTGAAGTTTTGAGTGATACGAGATTAATGCCAAGAGTTTTCATCGCACGGCCAACAATAAAAGAACATACGCATTTAAATATTTTCTCTGGAAATAGTAAGTTTATATGTGAAGGATAATACAGGTGATAATATGTCCAGAACGTATTTAGCTGGCTTGATTTGTACGTCGTTGATGTCACCACGTTTACTAGTATGATTCGAATCAAATTTGTTAGAAAACTCTATTGATCATTTGGGGAAAAGAACGCGCTATTTTCCTGACGGGTTTCTAGGTACCTCGTCGACAATGTGGTGCGACTGCTGTGGGTAATGTTTGCGAAATAGTTGTTAAGTGACTTACCGTGTTCTTCTCTACGAAATGTCGTGTCACCATTTTGCAATTCTGTGATGAATTCGTTTCCAGGTGATCGGTTTAAGAGTTGGGTATTCATTTTCCAATTAAGGTCTGCTCTTGATAGAGTTTTTTCATTAAATATTGAGTGAAAATAGTTTATCTTTCCTTGCCTGACACTTTTTGTCAGTTGGCTTCTATTATTCTTAAAATTCGTTAAATCGTCAGTGTATATTTTTGTAAGATTCTCGAGTCACATAGGGTTTATAAGTGTTCTTTTTCTGGCCGACTGGTTTATATTAGAAGTTTTTGGTTTATACCATAAAAAGGTGTTAAAAAGCATAGAATGCTTCATCAGCGCGAAAGGAATTGTAAACTGGGATCCGGTTTAATGTCACTAATTTGGGACCTAAACACTCCAAGCGTGTGATAAGATATGTTTTTAAACATACCCGAGTTTATGGTGGCGTCACTGTGATTGCCAATAGTGCTGCTTGCGAACATGAATAATGGCAAGTGATCGGTTATCTGGAGGGCAAAGACTCCACCAAACGTATTGCGTGCATCAGTATTGCTGACCAAAAGTGTGGATGAGACATCCGTCACATCTGTTGATAAAGTAATTATGGTGATACAATTGTTTGATTCAAGGACAGTTGCAAGTGAATGTTGCGTATGTGAGTATGTTAATAACTTAATAATAAATACCCATCAACAAAATGTTTATACCGGTTGACATTTAAATAGTCTAAAAACTTATCGAAAGAGTATTGTAAAAAGTTCAAGTTCTACGTTCGGACCTATAAACCACGCTAAATATATTGTGCCCGCACTTCAATGTCAATGTTTCAAAATCAGTACAAAGAAACGAAAAATCAGTAAAGTTCACAATCAAAAGTAGCGCTCACACAACTTTTGGTGATATGGGCACGTACACACGCATATCACCAAAAGGCTCCAACCTCCTGTTCAATAATCATGGAACAGCCACCTTTGCTACGGGAACTGCATCAAAGGATCTTGGTGGTCAGTTTTCTTGACTAACATAAATAGGGTAACGGATTTCCTGTGTGCGCAGTGCCGTATCATAAAGAGTTGGTCATCCAGCAACAGGCGCAATGTAATGATAGGTATGCACTCAGACACATCGCCTCTAAAGTTCAATGATGAAAACTTAAGTTCAAACATTTAGTTAATATTTTAGCTGTAAAGAATGATATCCACAGTTTGATGAACCGAAGTGCGACGAACTTCTGTTTTTTTAAACTACTCCCCCAAAAATATAGAAATAACATTGTTAGTGGTTTGTTACTTTGAGGCAATTAAAGTAACTTTAAAAAATTTGCAAAGGTTTTTTTTGTGCGTGAGAATATGCTGCATGATTAACTTTGGCTAACTTTGGTTAACTTTGGCTAACAAGGTAATTTACTTAAATCTCGCGAGAGCTTGAAAGCAGTAAAACAATGCGCTAATCTCATTTTATGCACCAGAACTAAGCAAATCAGAAGCAGTCCTCACAGACAACTTGCGTGCCCAAGTGAACATTTTATGAAAGTATAAAATCAGACTGAGGTAACACACACTGGATGTAATTTTTGCCTTTATTCAGCAATGAAGAAATAAAAATTAACGGAGATTTGGTGGAAACGTAGTACCGATATAAATTCAGTACAAATGTGGCACACTCATTAGCTTTTCGTTAAAACTTAAGCTTTAGAAATAGTGGCACCAAGACATTGACGTCACGCTGTTCCGTGACGTCAAACCATAGAACGATTGTATATATAAAAATTTAAACTCATAACGATTTAGAGAAACTTATTGTTATTAGCGCCTAAGCGAGCGTGCGTTTTAAATAACGCAAACGACAAGTGAAATAAAGAAGTTTTTAAATGTTTATATTACAAATTTGCATCTCGTATTTGAAAAAATTGCGTATAAACCCTTTGTATCTCATATCTTCAAAAAGTGCGTACGCCTCGGCGGTATGTACAAGCAGTCTGCCAGCCAGGCTACCACTTCTTAAACAGCCCGTTGGTCATAACCGTACTCAAGGTACTTCATCTCACGTGAAGCAATAGCCTCTATGAGCAACTACCGAAGAGCCGCGTGAACATGGAACTTTGTTTCGGTTGAAGTCAGTCAATAAATAAGTCTTACTGCACACAAGTTGCGTAATGTCATCTTTTCTGGGATGTTGCGACGATTAAACAACAAACAGTTTTCTTCGACTTCAGCTCTGCCACTTTTTACTACAACGTGACATATCGGTTTAGGACCACAGATTATCAGTAAAGTTTTGATGTTTCTTGTTCACACTAAAACTGTCAAATGTACTAAACAAGTTGCATTATTTTTTATATTCTTTACGCATTAATTGTTTTTATGTAAACGAATATATCTATATTCACTAAACTCACTAAACCAAGGTAAATTCTTACCTATAATAATTAAAGAATTTTTGGGAATGAGCACATCCGCAAATACAGGGTGTTTTTTTTAAGCTTAACAGGTTTGTTTTAAAAAAGCCGTGAAAGTTACACTTATGCCACTTGTGGAGGTGAGTTATGCGGCCAGGGGGACATATTATAGGGAGCTAATCTTAACGACCAGTCGACTAATTAATTAAAATTCGTTAATTAACTTTTTAATAAATTAAAATAGACACGTGGTTCCAATTAGAAACTTGCTCAGCGTCCTCTAAAACCACTAAATCAGTCATTCTCAGAAAGACTTTGAGCGCGTGAGAAGCGTAGTAGTGCACTAAAGTTACCACTCGTGGAGCATGTACAAAGCTAGCGGTTGCGATAAGGCGCCCGCGCGATTTTTCCGTCTCTTATCTAGCCCCAGCCTTTTACCTGCTCCCCGAGCGGTAACTTTAGTGCACTACTACGCTTCTCACGCGCCCAAAGTCTTTCTGAAAATGACTGATTTAGTGGTTTTCGATGACGCTGAGCAAGTTTATAATTGGAACCATATGTCTATTTTTATTATTAAAAAGTTAATTAACGAATTTTAGTTAATTGAACGACTGATCGTTACGATTAGCCCTCTATAATATCTCCCCCTGGCCGTATTACTCACCTCCATAAGCGGCATAGGTGTAACTTTCACGGCTTTTTTTAAACAGATCTGTTAAGCTTAAAAAAAAACACCCTGTATATATGGTCGCCAATATATTTTTAAATATCGCTTCTTAGAGCAGTTTCTGAATAACACAAATAAGTTACTTAAATCGCGTCCTATTTAATCCATTATAGAAAACATATTCCCAGGCATCTAAATTTAGAATTCAGACGGACACGTTTTTCTTTTTGAAGAACATGTTACCCCAGCTGCGCAAGTTTTGAAAAAAAAATCGATGCACAAAAAAAAAAAAAGAGACAGTCATTACCTAGCTGGTCTTTCTCTCTAGGCACCTACCCCTCTTCACTCCAGTACTGATTGTGAGAGCAGGTCGGAGTCCTGGCAAACCCGCATCTGAGAACAAATAGCGCCTGATGAATATGAGTTAGCACCAGCGAAATTCAAGAGAAATTCGTAAGAATTAAAGGGAAACTAAAGCGGTTCTGTATTTAAGAAAAACACTTAAACCGTCTTGGTTTGGCTTTCCGGATCACGAATATCAAAATTATATTTCATAATTTT